AAAAAAGAAGAAGAAGAAGAGTATGCGCGGAGTATAATGCGACAAGAAGAAAAGTGATAGTGATTAATGGTTATGAGAATATCGCGGAATAGTGCAATACAAGGAAGAAAAGTGATAAAGTGAATAGAAATTATTAACGCGGAATAGTGCAAGAAAAAGAAGTGATTTCTTTTAATCATATTGAGCAAAGTTAGGTTATATTAGCGAAATTGAAAAATTGCTTTATTACACGCAATGCTTGAATCTATGCATTATCAATTAAAATTAACATATTTGTGATAAATGGATTGTTGGAAAATGATTATGGAGGCATTGAAGGAATATTTGGAGATTTTGGCTGGCCATGTTTTCGATAAGATGGTAATTATACGCGTGAACGCGCATTCATGTGTATAATATTTATTTATATTTTATTTATAAATGTAATTAATACATAATTTTATATATAAATGTAATTAATGCATAATTAATATTTTTAGGTTAACTTACTAATGGCTACGCAATGAGTTTATGTTAATGTAACAAAATAAATCTGGTAAAAGTTCTATTAAAAACATCATAGAAACAACAACATTGAATACACATTTTTATTAAATGGCTTCATAAGGAATAATGAAATAATAAAATCATATCGAAACATTTCTATAGTGTCCTGAAACTTTTGGCGAATCTGGAATTCTTTCAACTTTTGGTTCTGGAAATGTGTGAATGTTTATTTATATTTTATTTATAAATGTAATTAATGTGTAATTAATATTTTTAGATCATTTACAAATGGCTAAGCAATGAGTTGCATGTTTACATTAATATAACAAAACAAATCTTGTGGGAATTGTATCAAAAATATTATATACAATTGAATTGAAAGCATCAGAGTTAGAGCCTGAAATAGAAATGTTAAGCATTAGTCAAAGAAGAGAAATAAGGCAATAATTTTGTTCATAAATTATATAATAAAGGTTATTTATTTTCTTGGGTAATGGTTAAACTTATTTTTTTAAAGCAATGAGAAACGTGAACGTGGAAATTGATGGTTTATTCGGATGGAGCTGCCTTTTCCAATATAATGTTATCGAAGAGTATTAAAATATCTGTCTTCGACAAATATAATTCAAGTTTGAATCAAAATGAGGAGCAAGAGTCGGTTAATGATGCTGAATTGCAGATTTTATTAGAGGATCGTACAAAAGTTTATAATAATTTGTCATAATAATTTGGCAGCTGCATTGATTAAAACATAAGCCTAAGATGTAGCGTTAGAAAATGTTAAACATGTTTCGAGATGTCAACCACAAAATGTTAAAGCACTATTTAGGAAAGTTATTGCAAATATCTTCTTTTTATTTACTAAATTTAATCTTCTTTTTAATAAGTTGTATATATTCTTGATTTATATTTTACATATGGAAAATTCAAATATGTGTTATATATATTATGCGTATCGTAGGAACAATACAAGTACGTATGTATATATATTGTGCGCATCGTAGGAACAATATTGAGACACAAAGGGGAATATGCAAAAGCTTATGCAATCTCTTTCTCTCTCCACTGAAATTCAAAAATTAAATCCAGAAATGAAGATACTACAGAATTAATAAAATTAAAGGATAAAATTAAAAATGCAGAAAAAGGAAAGCACCTATATCGTAAAATGTTAGGTGTAGTTGGAGATACTAAAAATCCGTCAAAGGATATAAATGTAAGTAATTAAGTAAAGGATAGTGCTTTTCTTTTTCTGTGTCTTTAGCAATTTTATCCTTTAAGATCATTAATTTTGTAGTAAATATCTTCATTTCAGGATTTAATTTTTGAATCAGTGAGGAGAGAGAGAGAGAGAGGGATTGCATAAGCTTTTGCATATTTCCCTTTGTGTCTCAATATTCTTTCTACAATGCGCACAATATATATACACATGTACTTGTATTGTTCCTACGATACGCACAATATATATACACACATATTTGAATTTTCCATATGTAAAATATAAATCAAGAATATATACAACTTATTAAAAAGAAGATTAAATATAGTAAATAAAAAAAAGGTTAGGATTTTTGCAATACATTTCCTAAATAGTGCTTTAACATTTTGTGGTTGACATCTCGAAACAAGTTTCAGATTTTCTAAAGCTGCATCGCAGGCTTCTGTTTTAATCAACGCAGCTGCCAAATTATTATAAACTTTTGTACGATCCTCTAATAAAATCTGCAATTCAGCATCATTAACCAACTCTTGTTATTATATAATTTATAAACAAAATTATTACCATATTTCTCTTCTTTGACTAATGCTTTCTGTTTCAGGCTCTAACTCTGATGCTTTCAAATCAATTGTATATAATATGTATATGTATATAATATATCTAAAATCTGCAATTCAGCATCATTAACCGACTCTTCCTCCTCATTTTGATTCAAACTTGAATTATATTTGTCGATGACAGATATTTTAATACTCTTTGATAACATTATATTGGAAAAGGCAGCCCCATCCGAATAAACCATCAATTTCCATGTTCACGTTTCTCATTGCTTTAAAAAAATAAGTTTAACCATTATCCAAAAAATAAATAACCTTTATTATATAATTTATAAACAAAATTATTACCATATTTCTCTTCTTTGACTAATGCTTTCTGTTTCAGGCTCTAACTCTGATGCTTTCAAATCAATTGTATATAATATGTATATGTATATAATATATCTTGATACAATTCCCACAAGATTTGTTTTGTTATATTAACATAAACATGCAACTCATTGCTTAGCCATTTGTAAGTGATCTAAAAATATTAATTACGCATAATTACATTTATATATAAAATATAAATAAATATTCACATTTCCAGCACCAAAAGTTGCGAGTAATTCCAAATACACAAAATGTTTGTGGACACTATAGAAGTGTTTCGATATGATTTTACTCATCATTTCATCATTCCTTATAAAGTTAATTAATAAAAATGTGTATTCAATGTTGTTTTATGATATTTTTGGTAGAATTTCCACAAGACTTATTTTGCTGCATTAACTCGTTGCTTAACCATTTATAAGTTAAACTAAAAATATTTATCATGCATTAATTACATTTATATAGTACAGGGTGGGGAAGAAGTCCCAGACTCTTGAAATATCTCGGAAGGAGTGAGATGTAGAAAAAAAAGGTTCAGACAAAAGTTGTATGATTTCAAGGGGGCCATATGATAAAAATATGGACTTGACCTTGAGTGACATTTTTAAGGTGAGATCAATGTGATCGATGTTTTCTTAAATGGAACCCCCCATTTTTTATTGAATATTCTTTTAGCTTATTTCGAGAGCTTTTCAAAACACTATAATAAAGTATTTTTTTATTAAATACTTTTTGAGTTATTTTATATCTTAATCTGACATATTTTGATATAAAAAATAAAATATCTCATAAAATATTTAGTTTTCGATAATCTTAATACTTTTATAACTATAATACTTTTATGTACAGAATAATGAGACAACTCAATTAGCGTAAAATAAAATAATTGTTTTTAAGAAAAAGTATGTAATTATTTATAATGTATTTTTTTAAACAATTATTTGTTTTTTTCTTTACACTAATTGATTTGTCTCATTATTCTGTACATAAAAATATTACGGTAAGATTATCGAAAACTAAATATTTAACGAGATATTTTATTTTTTATATCAAAATATGTCAGAATAAAATATAAAATAACCCAAAAAGTATTAATGAAAAAATACTTTATCATAGTGTTTTGAAAAGCTCTCGAGATAAGCTACAAAAATGAGCAATAAAAAGTAGGCAGTTCCATTTAAAAAATTGAAGGTGACCTTGCTTTTTTATGGAAAAA